GCGAACCTACGAAAAGAAAATGGAGTACAGAACTGGAAGACCAACTGGCAACAAAACCAAGTGGAGTAAGAGGCATCGGAGGAGTGAGCAACTGAGAACATCGCAGTGGGTGCAAAACATCACTCCACAGCAAGGAAAACAAATGTAACTGCCTTCCCCAGCATTGGAACTCTCAGCTTAACAGGAGCTAAGCCACCTGTCAGAGGTCTTGTATAAAGAGCCTAGAATAAGATAACAAGGGACTTCATTCAGTACCTCCTGCATCCCAGTTCACAGGCAGTTCACGGTGCCTGTGTCTTCACTCAGGCCTAGGTCAGTTCTCTCAAAGCAGTTAGTGAGCCCAGAAGGTTCTATCTGGTTTTCTGGGAATCTCACTTTCTACCAGAATACTGGCACATCCTAAAGAATAAAAAAATAAATAAAAATAAAAACATTCTCAAAGTGTAAGCAAAAGAATTATCTTGGGAGCCTGTTGAAAATGGAGAGTCCTGCCAGGTCTCAGGACAACTGCAGAAGATGGGGAGGAAAGATTGTAAGAACCAGAGGTGGTGGATGACCACAAGGAAACAGATATTCCAGGCTTCTGGGAACTTGCTCATATGAACTTACAGCAATGGTGACAGCATGCACAAGACCCCTGCAAACTCAAACAAACAAAAACCCAGCAGAGAACTGGGGAAATGGGGCCAGGCTTGGTGGCCTTCTTTAATCCCTGAGGTAGGTGGATCTCTTAGTTCAAGGCCAGGCTGGTCTACATAGTGAGTTTCAGGCAGCTGGGGCTACAGGGAGACCCTGTCTCCAAAAGACCAAAAAAAAAAAAAAAAAAAAAAGAACTGGGGACATGGGCAAGAAGCCAGTTAGCTGAGGAACTATCAGCAGCAGATTACTGCTGGTTGAGGGATAGTTGGTCTTTAAGGGAGTGACGATAGATAGGCTGACTAGGCTCCAGTGGATGAACTCACACCAAGGGACATCTGGGGACAGAAACTTGACTCCAAAAGCCTTAACATATATGACAGAATGCATGAAATCCAGTGAAGGGGCTATGGAGGGGTACAGATAGAGAGAGATCTAAACATGATTAAGATGTATGCAATGCACAAAATTTCAATAGAAATATATAGTGGAAAAAAAGAAAAGGGGTGGGGGTGGGGGCTAGACCAGAGCCAGATCTCTAAGCATAGAAGCAGAGAACGTGTTTATCAAGCCCCCAGGTTCATACAGCAGACTTCCTTGCTTGGACAGGGAGGAATTACAATTGAATGACAGCCAATTCCAGCTAAAGTCATCTACACCACACAAGACAGGCATTCTATACTGCTGACCTTAGACACAGGTCATACTGACGAGGACTATGACTTAATCTGAGAACTTAAGGCCACGCACGCATTCTGGCCCTATGGGTCATACATTGTGGAGCACAGATTTGCTATACTGATGCTGAGAGCTGACAATGAAGCATCATGTTCTTTAAAAACTCTATATAGCTGGGCGTGGTGGCGCACACCTTTAATCCCAGCACTCAGGAGGCAGAGGCAGGCAGATCTCTGTGAGTTCAAGGCCAGCCTGGTCTACATAGTGAGTTCCAGGACAGCTGGGGCTACAGAGAGACCCTGTCTAAAAAAAAAAAAAAAAAAAAAAAAAGCATGGCTGTGGTTTACCGCATAGTGCTGGCAGGGACAGGAATTTTCTCTTAGGAAGCAACCCCACATCTGCGCAAAGCATCAAAAGTTAACAGCTCAGAACCAAATTTTTACATCAATCTATGAAAGTATAGAAAAGATGATCACAGACACAGAACACTTTGGGTTAGTGATTATAGAGCTGAGGAGACAGCTCAGTGGTGAGCACCTGCCGAGCACGTGTGAGGTCCTAGAAATTATCAAACTGCCAATTTTAAAACTTGCTACAAATTTTAGCAGGGCTGCATCCTACAGTAAGTAAGCTACAATATGCACCCTGAAATACTTAAATGCATTCAGTGCTTAATTTAGACTTACAGTTTTCATCTTAGGCCCATCATGTCTATCTGAGACAATGACTGGTGTGGCACACAGAAACACATGCTGTCCAACAGTCAATAAACTTAGCTCTTTTTTCATGGTGCTGGGCAGGAATCCAGACCCTTGTACATGTAGGCAAGCACAGTTCAGCTTCATCTGCCATCAACTCGTACAGTGTGTGTTTCATTGACTTTCAGGGAGAGGAGGAGCCTCACTTTGCAGGGTCTGTTCACCCCAGATTGGGCACCAATGACAGACCAAAGAAACTATTCCACCCAAGTCCAGCTTGGTGAACCAGTGAGTTTACCTGGGACTACTTACAGGACCAAGAGCATGAGCAACTGACGAGGGGCTGCACTGCAAAAAAGGGCTCCTCTCCCATCTCCAGCAGCCATCAACCACTTACATCCCCAGGAAGAGGTGTGGCCTCATGTACTGCCTCCTGAGTTGCCCCTTCTTCAGTGAGAGACTGTTAATGGGTCCAATCTAATGCTGGTATACTTCTCCTACAGGTAATCATAGCTTCTAAGAGCCTAATTTTTCAAGAGGGAAACTAGGATATCACATCTGGAAGGCAGCATTCCACAACAACATGAAAATATCAGATGCCACAATTAAACACACACACCCCTATCTGTTCTAGAAGGATAAAAATAAAGGCAGAACATCACCACCCATAATTTATATAAGGATTCAACACTAGACCACGTGAATCAACTGATTCTCCAAGCAGCACTATTTCAATAAAAGTTAAGAAAAAAGAACACTTTAAAAAAAAAAAAAAAAAGCTGGGGGGCTGGAGAGATGGCTCAGCGATTAAGAGCACTGACTGCTCTTGCAGAGGACCCAGGTTCGATTCCCAGCACCCACACGGCAGCTACTAACCATCCAGTTCCAGGGGAATCTGAGACCCTTGTTTAACCTCCACAGCATTGCATGACACGGGTGCACTCACATACATGCAGGCAATACACTCATACACATAAAATAAAAATAATAAAATATATTTTTAAAAAACCAGCTGGCCAGGCACACCTTTAATCCCAGCACTCTGGAGACAGAGGCAGGCAGGATCTCCAGTTCCAGGCCAGCCTTGTCTACACAGTCTACATAGCAAGTTCTAGGCCAACTGGGGCTGCACACCTTTAATCCCAGAACTCAGGAGACAGAGGCAGGTGAATCTCTTGGAGACAGAGGACAGCGTGGTCTGGTCTACATAGCAAGTTCCAGGTCAGCTCGGACTACAGGAAGACCCTGTCTCAAAAAACAAAACAAGCCAGGCGTGGTGGTGCACGCCTTTGATCCCAGCACTCGGGAGGCAGAGGCAGGCAGATCTCTGTGAGTTTGAAGCCAGCCTGGTCTACATAGCAAGTTCCAGATCAGCTGGGGCTACAGGGAGACCCTGTCTCAAAAAGACCAAAAAAAAGGGGGGTGTAACAACAGGAAATGGTGAGATAAAAACTAACACAGATTTTCTTTACTGGGACACTAAGAAACCTACATCTAAAATTAATCAAGAATTCTGCAGGCAAAATCAGCAGATTAAAAGATCTGTAACTTGGAAGGACTGTAGGACTACCCATTTTAGAGAGTGTTCATCTCTACTTTGGGATTAGACTTGCAGGACTAACCCAAGAGGCTAATTAGAACAGAGTTCTAATTAATTTTTTTTAATCAAGGATGATTGATTTAAAAAGTTCTTTTGGGCCAGTGAGACGGTTCAGTAGGTAAAGGTACCTGCAGCCAGGCCCGATGACTTGAGTCCAATCCCCCAGACTCACATGGTAGAGGAGAACCAACTTCTGCAACTTGTTCTCTGACCTCTACAAATGTGCCATCATATATACACACAGACACACAGACACACTAAATAAAAAGACAATAAAAAATTAAAGAATTACTCCACCAATCTAACAATAGGAATTACAACTGAAGGATAAAATATATATACTGGGGCTGGAGAGAGCTCAGCAGTTAAGAGCCCTGGCAGAGGACCTGGGTTCAGTTCCCAGCACGTACATGGCAGCTAACAACCATCTGCAATCCAGTTCCGGAGGATCCAGTGCCCTCCTCAGGCCTCTGTAGGCACTTCATGCATGTGTTGCCCATATATACAAGCAAGCAAAACACACACACATTAAAAACTTTTTTATTAAAAATTAAAAGATTGCTGGTTTACAAAGAAAAATGACAATTCTTTTTTCATGTAATAAATTCTTCCAATCACACACACACAGAAGTTTCATGTGTATCAATACTGTATTGAATATATGTGTATGGATTAAAGGTAAAGGAATATAGAAACTGTTTAGCTTTTGAGTTGAAGATTAAGAGAATTCAAGATGGGCTGGAGAGCTGGCTCAGCGGTTAAGAATACTGGTTGTTCATGCAGAATACCCGGGTTCGAATCCCCGCACCCACATGGCAGCTAACAACTGTCCATAACTCCAGTCCCAGGGGCTCCGACAGCCTCTTCTGACCTCCGACAGTGTCTTCTGATCTCCATAAGCATTGCACTTACCTACATGCAGGCAATACATGCATACACATAAAAAAAAATTTTTTTTTTGTCTTTTTGAGACAGGGTCTCCCTGTAGCCCCAGCTGTCCTAGAACTCACTATGTAGACCAGGCTGGCTTTGAACTCACAGAGCTCCGCCTGCCTCTGCCTCCCAAGTGCTGCAATTAAAGGCATGTGCCACCATGCCCGGTTCACATAAAAAAAAAAAATTTCTTAATTAAAAAAAAGAGAGAATTCAAGACTTGGTTGTTTGAAGTTTTCTCTGAAGATCTCACAAGGCTGATTTAATGTAAACTAAAAACACTATTTTACCAAGTAGCATATAATTAAATAAGGCTGTTGCATATCACACACAGCACAATGCCACCCAAATAAAGCTGTGTCTGCAGGCTGGTTGGCACAGTCACCAAAACTGACATTATAAAGCACTACTGAGTTGCTGTGGAAGTAACTACAACACACAATGTCATAACTCACCTGCCACAGGAGGAACACCACCACAGAAACGCACTGTTGCACATTCTCCACTGACTTCAACTCTTCTACCAATGACAGCTAATGGCAAAATGTCACTCATCATAAGATAGTCAGAATCCAAAATATGAGACCTAGGGGGGAAAAATGTTGATAAGAACTTAATTTTTAAAAATGCAGCTTAGGATGGCATCAAACTCATAGCAATCCTCCTGCCTCAGCCTTCCAAGTGCTGGGATTATAGGCATGAGCCACCAGGTCCTGCCAAATTTCTTTAAAATATTTTTTCGTGGGGATGAAGAAGTGGCTCCATGTATAAAGAGCTTGCTGTATATACATGAGGACCTGAGTTTGGATCCCTAGCCTCCACGTACAAAGCCAGTGGTATTTTTTTCCTTTTTGAGACAGGGTCTACCTGTAGCCCTAGCTGTCCTGGAACTCGCCAGCACCTGTTTCTCTTGCAGAGGTAATGGGTTCAGTTCCCAAGAGTCACATGGCAGGTAACAACCATCATAACATCAGCCCGAGGAAATATGATGCTCTCTTCTGGCCTCATGTACTGCACGTACATGGTGCACTGACACACATATAGGCAAAGCACTCATACACATCACATTAAATAAAAATAATTTAATTTTTAAAATTGCCAGGTGTGGGGCTAGAGAGATGGCTCAGCAGTTAAGAGCACTGACTGCTCTTGCAGAGGGCCGGGGTTTGGTTCCAGCATCCATATGGTGGCTAACAACCATCTATAACTCTGGTTCCAGGGGATCTGACACCCTCTTCTGACCTCTGAGGGCACTGCATGACATGAATGCACTTACATACATGGAGGCAATACATTCATATACATAAAAATAATAAAACTTTTTTTTTAAATAACAGGCTGGAGATGGCTCAGTGGTTAAGAGCACTGACTGCTCTTGCAGAGGACCCAGGTTCAATTCCCACCACCCACATGGTAGCTCAGAAGGGTCTGTAACTCCATCCAATTCCAGGGGATCTGACACCTTCTTCTGGTCTCCTCAGGAATTGTATGACACAAGTGCACTTACATACATGCATACAAAATACTCATACGCATAAAAAATAAATTTAAAATATAAATAAATAAATAAATAATAAAACCCTGGTTAAATCCAATTGATTTACATCACAAGACTGATCCAAACAGTCATTTACTGAAATGGTGGGAAGTAAAAGAGAACAGAAGGAAGAGAAAGGACTAGAGAAGGTGGCTGGAAGGGGACAGGCAGATGCTCCTCAGAACGCACAGCAGACAAAATGTTAACTCTAGTGAGAAACACAGACTCTATGTGAGAGAGAGAGAGAGAGAGAGAGAGAGAGAGAAGGGGGGAGGGAGGGAGAGAGAGAGAGAGAGAGATTGACCATGAGTACAAATGGTAACTGAATGCTACTCCCCTTCATGGGAAGGCAGAATACCTTAACAAGACCATCAGGGTGTGGTCAATCTGCATGTAGGTAGTGGGAAACTGCACAGGGCAAATGAGTCAGTTTCTGCCCGAAATGGAGAAAGGATGGAGGGCAAACAGATTAAAAGAACAGAAGAGAGGCTGGAAAGATGGCTCATGGATTAGAGAACTGGCTGCTCTGCCAGAGGACCAGAGTTCAATTCCCAGCACCTACATGGTGGTTAACACAGGATAGTAACTCCAGTTCCAAAGGCTCTGATGCCCTCTTCTGGCTTCTTCAGGTACTGCATGCATGTGGTGCACTTACATACACATCAAATTAAAAAATTTTTTAAATTATGCCAGGCATGGCGGCACACACCTTTAATCCCAGCACTTCGAAGGCAGAGGCAGGCAGATCTCTGTGAGTGAAAGGCCAGCCTGGTCTACACCATGAGTTCCAGGTCATCTGGGGATATAGGGAGACCCTGTCTCAAAATGACCAAAAAAATAAAAAATAATAAATTAGCCAGGCATGGTAATGCACACCTTTAATCCCAGCACTCAGGAGGCAGAGGCAGGTGGACCTCTGTTTCAGGTAAGGAAAAAAGAAAAAAAAAAAAAAAAAAAAAAAAAAAACCTGGGATTGACTGAGCCAAAGGGTATATGCATTTAAATTTTTGACAACTAATATCAAATGTCTTCCTTTTACAATGGCTGTCCCATCAGGAGAACATGGGCTATTCTTACAATCTTGTCTTCATAGACCATCAACAAACAAACTTATCAGTCTGCTAAGCTTGTTTTCTTTGCAGTGCTGGGGATCAAATACTGGGCCTGGTACAAGCTAGGCAAGTACCCTACTACTGAACCATAACCATAGCTGCTAAAAGATGTTTTCATTTCATTATTCAGAAACAGCATCAACTCATTCAAATTTCCTTTTCTGTGAATTACCTATTTACTTATCTTGCTTCCCTTTCCTTTGGTTTGACTTCCTTTTTATCTGGCTTGTTTGAATTAGTTTTTTGGTGATGGTTGTTGGGATCTTTTGCAAGTTTGGTTTTTGGGTGTTTTGTTTTGTTTTGGGGAGGGGGTGTGAGACAGGGTTTCCCTATAGCCCCAGATGGCCTTGATCTTGCTATGCAGACTAGGTTGGCCTTATAAACCAGGCTGGCCTCTGCCTCCCCAGTGCTGGGATTAAAGGCATGTGCCACCATGCCTAACTAAGGTTGGTTTTTAAGCAAGGTCACTAGGCCAGCTTAGGCTGGCCTTCAAGCCGCCATAGAGCTAAAGATGACTCTGAACTTCTGATCTTCCTGATCTACCCCCAGTGCTGGGGTAACAGGTGTGTGCAGGTCTCTGTGGTGCTGGAGATGGAACCGAAGGCTTATGCATGTTAGGCAAGCAGTCTACCCACTGAGCCACATCCCCAACTCCTTTGTTTTTAGGAAATGCTCTCACTGTATTACCCAGGCTGGCCCTGAACTCAAAACTCTCTTGCTTCAGCCTCCAAATCACTGGGACTATTAGTACCACCAAATCTGGCTGTTTCTTATATGGCCTTGATGATGAAATGACTACATAATTCCTCAAAATAATTTGCAAAGAATTAAAAGCATGGACTCAAGCAGGTATCTGTACATCCATGTTTATAACTACATTCGCCACCAACATTCAAATTGACAAAAACTAAGTGTTCATCAATGAAAGAATAAATATGGTATATACACCAAAAAGTGTTCCTTGGCTAAGGAAAGACACTGACAAATCCATTTCTATGGAGTACCCAGGTTTATCAAACTCACAAAGACAGAAAGCGGAATTTTGGAGGCCCTGGTCTTTAAGGACAGGGAAACTGGGAATAGTTGTCCAGTTTTGCAAGATGGAGAGTTCTGGAGTTGGACAATAGCGCAATGTACTGACTTTATATCCTTAAAAAATGCTAAGATTGGGGCCAGGTGAGGTGAAGCATGCCTTTAATCCCAGCACTCAGGAGGCAGAGGCAGGCAGATCTCTGTGAGTTCAAGGCCAGCCTGGTCTACATAGTGAATTCCAGGACAGCTGGGGCTACAGGGAGAAGGAAAGAACCAAATCCTACAAGTTGTCCTCTGACCTGCACATGTGCTCCACTGTAACCCTCCCTCCACATACACAAATAAATGCAATAAAAAAATAAATAAAAAATAGAAAAGAAACTGTGCTGGGGATATAGCTCAGTGGGTACGAGTGCTGACCTAGCATGCATGAAGCCCTGGGACGAATCCCTAGCATCGCATAAACCACGTGTTGGTGGTATATGCTTATAATCTGCACTCAAAAGAGGAGGCAAACTGATCAGGTGTTAAAGGCCTGTCTTGGCTACACAGTGAGTTTGAGGGCAGTCTGGGCTACATGAGACTCAAAAATAAATAAGCCAGGTGTGGTGGGGCAAGCCTTTAATCCCATCACTAGGGAGGCAGAAGCAGGTGGAAGACTGGGATTGAGGCTAACCTGGTCTACATAGTTCCAGGCAAATTGGGGTTACAGGAGACCCTGTCTCAAAAAATCAAAACACAAAGTAAAATAAATGTCGATTTATGATGTTTTCATTTTCTGGCAGTCCCTATCTACTTTCTGAATTTATTTTACATTTAATATGTCTATCATGTTTTATAATTGTACCTCCTACAACATCCTCGCAGCAAAATGCTAAGACAGGGAAAGTGTCATATAAACCTCGAAGTGCTAAATATATATTTTATCAAAATGCATCATAGGGACTGAAGAGATGGCTTGTAGCAGGAGACCTCCAAAGATGGTGCGGACCCAGAGCCCTGGGATTCAGCGAGAATTTACTTCACTTCTTGGTCCGCAAATAGCCCGCCAAAAGTAGCCCACGCCTCCGTACCCTGCTTGCAAGCCCAGTGACTGCTGATAGACTGCATGGCGCGGACCAATCAGAAAATGATACGCTGACTAAAGGGACTTGGGGGCAAAGAAAAGGGAAATATAAGGCCTGCCCCCTCCTGCATTAAACGAGCCTACAGCACCTCGCCTAGTGCTTGCTTCTACCTGACTCCCGGTGTCTGTGTGTTGACTCCGCGCCTCTTGCCGCCCCTAATCAGCAGGGGACCCGATCCAGGTCAGGGTCTTCACAGCTGGCCTGAGGAGAACCCGCAACACATGGCGCCCAAACTGGGACCCCTGCCCACGGTGTTGATGACACCCAGAACCTCGGTTCCTTCGGTAAGTAGGCCCCTGGATTTGTCTGTTTCTTCGGCTGCTCGAGGGTGAGCAAGTAGCCCCCCTCCTCTGTCCCCTCCACCCTGTCATCTTTATTGTTGGACTAGTTTGTTAGATCAGGGAGGCACACTCCACCGTGTGGTCCCAAAGCCCACGTGGGCACCTCCCCCCTTCTCGGCTCATCCTGGTGAGTTCACATGAGGGCTGATCCACCCCAAACTCAGAGCCCAGGCTTTGGGTCACCCTGTTGCCTGTCCTGGAGACACCATGTGAGCATATGGCTGGAGGTGTCACGGCCTCCAGAAGTACCTCACTGAGCACAAGACATTTGGATCCGATACGCCTTTACATGTCGGGGCAGTTTACATCTTCACAGTGCTCAGTGCTTCTTTGCTTCCTTTGTGCCCTCTTGGTAGTCACCCTCGTCTGTGGCGAATTTCCCTTCATAAGCCCCTCCCACAATGGGAAATTTACCACCACAATGCAGGGAACCACAGACGGCAGCACTCAAGGTGCTCCTTAAAACCAGAGGGTTGAAAGTGAAACCAAAAGATATCGAACACTTTTGGGATGAAGCCACTAATTTAGCTCCATGGGTCTCCCCTGAAAACATGGGACGCTGACATGTAGATGCAGGTCCTCTTCCTGGTCCAAAAAAGGGAGGTCGGATCAGGGATCACTCCCCTCTCATTGTTAGTACCAATCCTCCTAGCCATCATTGCTAGCCTTAAATCCTCCTCTCCTGAGGAAGTCATCTCGGCCCACAACAAACACTGCTGGGAGCAATCTAGTGTAAATCTGGCTATTATCTTGACCCCGGACCTCCCAGACCCAGAGGTGGATGCCACCTCTGCGCCCACTTCCAATAAGAAAGGAGCTCTTTTGCCTGTATCTCAGGATACTCCCCTAAAACTACCATGCCCAGAAATTCCCCCACCCCGATACCTGTGGAAGGAGTTACTCTCTCCCCAGCCCAGTAACCATCCTACCCCTTCCCCTGCTACCATGCCCCTCCCTCCTAGGCTACCCTCCTTAAACCCTCACCTGCCTTTGTACGCATTTCCGGTTAACATCGGCCCCGATGCAGTACAGTGTCCATGGGTGCCCACCCCACTTGCTGACGTCATTCTTATCCGCAAGGCAGCTGAGCAATTGGGCCCTGACTCCACATATTTCGAACAGGTTCTTCACCAGTGGTCCTTACATTTACAAACCCACTATGATTGGTATAACTTACTAAAGGCAATCTTAGAACTCTCAGTCTTTCTAAACTGGTGCGCAGCCTATGATGATCAGGCTGAAAACCAGGCACGCCTAAATCTCCAATATGCCCTCAACATTACGTTGGACATGCTCACAGGACGCGGACAATATACTGACCCCATCTCCCAGTCTACTATTGGCCTCCATGCCTATTTTCAACAAGTTTCTGACTTGGCCTTTAAGGCCCTTAAATGTTGCTCCCCCCGTGACCAGGAAGTCTTTTTCCATAATTTGATTCAACAGGCAAGGGAGTCCTTCACAGACTTCCTTACCCATGTCACAGAGGCAGTAGAGCAGAGGGTGGAGTCTGGACCCACCCGAGAGGTGCTTATCAAACAATTAACTTGGGAGGGACTAAACACCCCTACTCATAATGCTGTCCGCAATGATAACATTCACAAATGGGTACTCACTACTAGAGACTTAGATCCCAGGGCAGGCCCTATTGAGGCTTTGATCGCCTCCTTGGAGGCTCTTTTGTCACAAGGAAAACCTGCCCACTTTGGCGCACGGAAGGCTGCTGGAACTGTGGGGGGCTTGGCCACTTTCATAGCCACTAGCCCACCCAAAGACTTGCTGCCCCAAGTGCAAAAAAGGTTTCCATTGGGCTAAAGACTGTAGGTCACAGCCTCAACCAGACTAGGCTCCTTTAAACTCCACCCAGGGCACCCCTCAGCTCTGCCCACAAGAGGGGAAACAAGGCAGATATTATGGACTCTCCCAATCCTCAACCACTCCCCACTAATGACCCTGTTCCTAGATGGAACTGCCATAAAGGGCCTAGTAGACACAGGGGCTGATGTCACCATTACATCAGAAACTGAATCCCTTAAATTCCCTCATTGGAAATACCAGCCAGACCCACCAATAAAAGGAGTTGGTGGCACACAAGGTACCAAGATGGCCACACGTCCAGTATATTGGAAGGACTTGGATGGGAACCAGGGCACAGTCACCCCCATAGTAGCAGACATTCCCTGTAACTTATGGGGCTGAGACATCCTAGAGGACATGGGTGCAGTCCTTACCATGGATGACCACGCCTTTTATGATGATATCATGCTCCACGATAACTTGGGACTATCAGGGAAAGGACAACACCTTGCCCAATGCCCCCAATCCTAACGGCCACTTACCTACATGCAGTCAATACATGCATTTAAAAAATTTAAAAAGCTGGGTGTGGTGGCACACACCTTTAATCCCAGCACTCGGGAGGCAGAGGCAGGTGGACCTCTGTGCATTCAAGGCCAGCCTGGTCTACATAGTGAGTTTCAGGACAGCTGGGGCTATAGGGAGACCCTGTCTCAAAAAGACAAAAAAAAAAAAAGGAAGTACAAAGTGCTGGGCTGGAGTTGTAGTTCACTGATACAACGCCTGCCTAGCATATGTAAGCAAGTATAAGATGTCAAAAAAAAAAAATCAAATTCTTTTATTCAACAATTATAATACAAAATGTCTACTAAAAGCCAGACACTATTTTAGGCACTTAGTGTACAGAATACCTGTTCTCTGGAAGCTTCTATCCCAGTGGGGAGAAACACAAGAAACCAGATAGCTGGGTATATCACATGGCATGCTCTACAAGATAAACACAAGGACAAGAAGCACAGTGGATCTGTTAAGGATGGAAGAGGGCTGGCCAAGGAAGGCTGCCCTGAGAAAGCAGAATTCCAAAACACAGAGAGGTAAAGGATTGAGCCATGTACCATACACAACATTCAGGCAAAAAACAGCAAGGACAAATATCCTGGGGAAGAGGATGTACTTGAGGGGGCCAGATAATGGAGCACTCAGGTAATCAGTAAGTGACAGATCAGGGATGAAGGGGGTCCAGGTCTTTAGGATCTTGGGAGCCACTGGAAAGACTTTTTTTCTGCAGAGTAAAACCATAGTGCACAGAGGATTTCTTGAGAAAAAGGATTATCTTTTCTAGGAGATCCCTGCAGCTGCTGTGGTGCAAACTGACTGGAAAACAGACTAGTCAGGGCGCAGTGAAAGATGATACAGATGGTGAGAAAGAGCTGGAAGGACAGATTTTGACCATGGAGCCAAGAGGATCTGATGATATGAGTGTGTGAAAAAGCTGAATCAGAATGACTCCAAGGCTTTGCACCTGAACAAACGTCTCAGTAGACAATTATTACTATGAACAATAAATCTGCAAGTCATGAGCCAAAGTACCACCAGACTCCAATTCCAGCTACCCTAGAGGCTAAAGCAAGAAAGACCAAAAGTTGAAGGCAACCTAGCAAGACCCTGTTTCTCAAAAACAATGTCTGGCACATAGTGCAGCACCAGATCATTTGCCTATGGAAAGAGAAGCCCTAGATTCAGCCCCCAGGACTGCAAAAAAGGAGAATTAACTAAAGTAAGAATTAACTGAAGTAAGCAAATACGAAAGGCAAGGGCGTGATGAACAAAAAGGTCGCCTTCTCCACCCCTCCCAGCCCGGCCCCTGTACGTGGCCTAGGTCCACCCGAGTCCCAAAAAGCCCGCGGCCTTGGGGACTACGCCACACCCCTACGGGGACGCACTCCCATTGGCCGGTCGGTCCCCGGTTGGGAGAGGGCGCTGGGTAAACCTTATTCTGCCGCACGTGACTAAGCCAGTCAGGGCAGCAGGACGCTGACGCAGGGGTTCGAGGCCCAGCACCCCGGGGAGCGCTAACAGCCGTCCTGACTCCACTTCCGGGAGGCTTGCGCACACGGATGCACTCACACATGCACCAATGCTCAGACACACACAACAAACATGACCAACACACATCGCTCTCAGCAGTCCCCACCTACTCTTGGGGCGTCCTCCACACCGGTACGGGGCTCTCCACGTGATGACGAACGCTCGCCTCAACAGAGACCCGGCCTGCGGACGCAGCCCTGAAAGACCCGGCTCCCGGGCCGCGGCGCTCGCCTCAGTCCAGTCCGCCCCGACCGCGGGCCCCAGGGACCGGAAGGAACGTGGAACGCAGCTCCGGGTGCCACCCGACTCCTCCCCGGGGGCCCTGCGCGCTGTCAGGAAGGGCGCTTCCGGCTCTGGATGGAAGTGTCTCGACACTGGATGTCCCGCTTCCGTGAACGAGCCGCCTCGGGCGTTCAGTTGGAGGGGAGAGCTGGTGCCCTGGCCTGAGCCGCTTGCCCACACCCAAACCTCGGAGAGCAGGATGCGGAAACCCGGAAGGACCGCGCAGCCGAGGAACGCGCATGCTCAAGGGCACCCCGGCCCGCATGGTGCCGGAAGTTCGTAGCTGAGGATTGCCGCTAGGGCGAGGCCAGCCTTGGCTCCATAACGTGATCCAAAGGGCTGGGGAGATGCTCAGCTGTTCCGAGCACTTGCTGCACCTACTCTCTGAGGACCCAGATTCGGTTCCACCACCCACAACCAGATGCTTACAATCCCTTCAGCTCCAGTTCAGGGATCCATAAATACATGCAGGCAAAATATGCATACACATAAAAAAATAAAAATATTCCATAGGGCCGGGCTGGTGGCGCAGGCCTTTAATCCCAGCACATGGGAGGCAGAGGCAGGTGGACCTCTGTGAGTCTGAGGCCAGCCTGGTCTCCATAGTGAGTTACAGGCCAGCTGGGACTACAGGGAGACTCTGTCTCGAACAAAAATAAATAAATATAATAAAATAAAACAAAACCCAACAACAAAACACACACACACGTACACACAGGAGGAAGAGGCAAAAGGCAATGTGGAAAAAGATTTAAGAGTAGGGAGTTGGGGAAGCAGGCACTGAGGGTCCGAGGGCCGCCTCCAGTGTCGCACTGGGATCCCCAGCAGAGGCAGCTCGCCTGGCCTCTCTACCATCACACGAAGATCTCTGCCCCTTGGAGATGAGAGACCCGAACCTTTCCCCAAGCTGAAGCTACAAGGTATTGAGGTACCAGCCAGGTGTCTTCCCACAAACGATAGGTGGTGGCACAGGACAATGGGGCGCCATCCAGTAACAGAGAAACGGACACAGTGGCACTAGCTGAACTGGATTCCCTGCTGGAAGAGAAAGGCAAGCGGTAACCGGCAACATAACTAGGGCTGAGGAAGAGGAAACATGCCCAGTGCTTCAGGAAGAAAAGGAGGAGGTGTGCATGCTGACTCTTCCCCTGCAGGCCCACCATGACCTGGAGAAGATGGAGGAGTTCGTGTAGAAGGTTTTGGGAGGGACTGTGGAGGGTCATTCCATGTGATGTACTTCCTGACTGGCTGAAAGACGATGACTACCTGCTACATGGCCACACACCACCTATGCTCTCCTTTTGGGCTTGGTTCAAGAGCATCTTCCGCATCCACACAGAAACTGGCAACTTCTGGACCCATCTGCTTGGTTTTGCGCTGTTTCTCTTGGGAATCTTGACCATGCTTAGACCAAATACGTACTTCATGGCTCCTCTGCAGGAGAAGGTGGTTTTGGAAATGTTCATTTTGGGTGCAGGGCTCTGTCTCAGCTTCTCCTGGCTCTTCCACACCGTCTATTGTCATTCAGAGACAGTCTCTCGAACTTTTTCCAAGTATGTTGAAAGAACAGCAACAACAAAGACCGTGTACATTATTGTCACATCTTGTCCCGTGCTGACCACGTGCTTGGGGCCCCTCTAACTCCTGAGGAATCTCTGTTGTGCCCAAGGAAATTAAATTTTCTGTTATGTTACCAAAAAAAAAAAAAAAAAAAGTGTAGGGACCTGAGCAAGGTTAGACACAACCTGCAACATTTTCTTATCAACTTCCTGTCTTTCAACATCTTTTTCAATTCTAATGCAGTCTCCAGAACTCTTACTGATTTCTTGTAAATTAGTAGTTGTATCGCTTCTTCCTTAAGCTGTATCTAAAGTCTAATTAAAGTGGCTACGAAGCCATTGGTTTATTGCCCAGAAGTGCTTGTTTAGTACATACATGAAAACAAAATTAAGAATATCAAATGTTCCCCAGTGAGGTAAACATTAAGCCAAATTTAGTTTAATTTCTCTATTTTTCCAAATGCTTCCAGAGTGAATGACCATAATTATCAAATATAGAAAGAGTGTATCAAAAGATTTGTTTTCTTCAACATTTCCTACTTTGAATTCTATGTCTCATTTATTTTTAAAATTTGAAAAAGTTTTGAGTGATTAGTAGTGGGGGAAGATGGCACACATGTGCCAACATAACTTTCTTCTTCTACTGTGGGTCCTAGGGATTAAACTCAGGTCATCAGGCTTGCACAGCAGACACTTTTGCCCTCTGAGCTATCTCACCAACCCGTTTCTCATTTTAATGGAGGTCCCTCTTCTTCTGTAAGCCACATCCTTCTGTGCTAGGTGGTGCAATCTGTGTTTATCAGATCAGACTTATATGCTACTTATGAGAGTAACCAGAGTTTCACCCTGAGTCTGTACCTCCCACTGTCTCAACAATCAAACTAGGGTCTTCTGCAAGAGTAGTTTACCTTTACTGCTGAGCCATCTCTTGAACCCCCAGATGCTATCTTATAAGATCCTACCTAGGCTTTAGGATTGGTAGAAGCTAGAAGCTAGCAGTCGTCTAAGTTTAACAAGGTGTTCCAAAATTTTACCCAATAATCACCGAGATTTTAGGTCAGATATGGAAGTAGTTAGTAAATGGCTATTAAGGTGGTGGTGCAAGTTTGTACTCCCAAAACTCAGATTGACGCAGGAAGATCAAAAGTTTAAGGTCAACGTGTGCAACTTAAGGAAACCCTGTCTCAAAATAAAACGTAAAAAGAACGTAAAAAGAAGGCTAGGGATATACTTCAGTGGTAGAGAGCTTGCCTAGAAAGCTTGAGGCTCTAGGTTCAATCATCAGTACTGCAAAGAAGGGGGAAGGGACTAAAGAAAGCCCAACATAAGCCGGGCGTGGCAGCGCATACCTTTAGTCCCAGCATTTGGGAGGCAGAGGCAGGCAGATCTCTGTGAGTTTGAGACCTGGTTTACATAGCAAGTTCCAGGTCAGCTGGGGCTACAGGGAAACCCTGTCTCAAAAAAACCAAAAAAAAAAAAAAAAAACCCAAAAGCCCACTACAGCATCCCATCTCTCCATGATCTCGACATTGTAGTTGATCAGTCTGCAGAATCTGCAGCACAGACATGGCTTCCACAGACCACTTTGGTCCACAGATTCCAGACCTTATTCTAACTCTTACCCAAGTCCTATACCATCCTGTTTCTTCTCTACCATCTAATGACCACCTTCTGCCAGTGCTAGGACTGGGATTCAGTGCCTTGTGAATGTTAGACAAGAGCTCTTCCACTGGGCTGCACACACACCATGCACGCTTTTAATATGGGGTGTCCCAGTTCCTCTAGCAGGGGTGTCCAACTGTGTGTGTGTGTGTGTGTGTGTGTGTTTGTGTGTGTGTATCAGTGGCTTTATTTGTATAACTTCAGGATGAAGGTAGGAAAGGAAGTCTATTTTTTTTTTTTTGGTCTTTTTGAGACGGGGTCTCCCTATAGCCACAGCTGGCCTGGAACTCACTATGTAGACCAGGCTGGCCTCAAACTCACGGAGATCCACCTGCCTCTGCTTCCCAAGTGCTGGGATTAAAGGCGTGCGCCACCACACACAGCCTAGGAAAGGAAGTCTTTAACTGATGTATAGAAAGAGATGTGAGGGAGGAAAAAAGGCAAGAACTTCTGGGGAACCAAGAGAATTTCTTGTTGAGCTCGTAAGAGCATCCATCCATTAGGTTCTTGTTTTTCTTTGGCTTCCAAGGCTACATTCCACAGTGGTAATCTCAGGGTTTGCCTTCAGACACTTTGATAATTATTGGAGTTGCTAGGTTCACAGTGTGAGTTCACTCCCAAATAGCTTCCCAAATGTTCCCTTAATAGGGGGAACACCAGAGTCAACAAGCCCAACTGTGATGATTTTTTTCCAAGTAAGCATAGCTGAAATCATGAAGACAGCAATCCTTTGGCTCAGAAGAGAGTACTGTGAAGCGTCTTCTTAATAAAAGAGCATGGAACCCAAATTATACACATAAAATATTGTACCTGTGTACACATCGTAGCTTTATAAGTTCCCAGGTAAACCTTGGTTTGTGCACAGAGTCGATGAATCTCCCCAGTGTATAATGGGTGCCACAGGAATAGAGAGCACTGCAGTCATTAAAGGGAAATAAATTTTAAGCTCTCACCTGGCAAATAAATCTAGATTTAAAGGATATGGAACATCAAATTAAAAACTTACTCCCTTGATTCCTGTGGCACCCATTATACCTGTTTCTAATAATGCAGGTGTCAGGACAGCAGCCATAATTCCCCTAGAAAACCAGGCACCATTTGGAGGCATCAAATGCTCCCAACCTTCTCTCCCTGAATAATAATACACCTGGGGCATGAGATGAACCAAAATACAGAACTCACCAGTAACAGTTAAATATCTTTGACTTATACAAGGAGTCAACCCGGTGGTGCAAGCAAACCAAGCTCCCTCTGGTGGTACTAAATAATATAATTCTCAGGATGAAGTGAGGACATAAGATTGATTACATATCTCATTGTAGGGAGATAAAGATAAGTCATAAGTATGACCATAAAAACAGATTCCTCTACCTGATAAACTACCAAGAGTAAACATAGGTTTAGAAGCCCAAGGACATAGGCCTTTATTAAGTACTTCATTATAAGTCAGATTTCAAATATAAGAGGGCCCTATTCCGACAGACTTAATAACTCCTATTCCTATATAGTAAGGAGGTCTAGGGTCTAAGCAGAGCCAGCAGTCTCTTGTGAGACTTGGTTCAGTAGCATAGAAAAACTCATATGTGTATAGACGAACATAATTCATCAGTGCCTCCTTGAATCTTTGGAAAGCCTCCTTTTCCTTATCTTTCCAACTCAAGGGGTTGTTTTCACACAGGCTATGGTATAAGGTTTAGCTATTTCTGCAAAACTGTATCCATAGTCTACAATATCCACTGTTCACAAAAATTCTCTTGCCCGCCTTTTATCCTGAGGTTGGGGGGTGCTAAGAATGGCCAGAATTCTCCTTGGAGACAGGGTCCTGTTGCCACCTGCCAGACAATACCCTAGATAGGTTACCTGACTGGAGCAGAGTTGGGCTTTTTTAGCAGATACTTGATAGCCCAACCATTAGTGCCTCAAGCAGGTCTTCGATGGCTTATGGGCATTCTTTGAGAGTGTGGGCAGTGACGTGGAGGT